TACAGACTAACTTTTACACAGCAAAGGCCATATGGTTGAGCCTGGCCACACACAGGTGGCCAATGAGATCGCAACACACAGAGAAAGCTGCACAGTCATGCTAGGTCACACACGGGTGGCCAATTGAATTACAATTCACCCCCCATAGTAGCTATTTGAACTAGCCTATCACCTTGGTCAGAACTGGTGCCCAAAAGGCGGGGCCCACACTCCTTGGTAGCTAGGGAGATAGTATGCGCACTCCACTGATTGGATGTCTCCACCTGGCCTGACTCATCCCTGCATTCAGGGCTCTGTTATCTCCACCTGACCTGACCCGCCCTTGTATTTGGGCTGTTATTAAGGACTGGTCGACCATATTTTACTGGTTTCCTGGACTTGCTTTTAAGTAAGTTCTCCTGGGGAGGAGTAGAGGGGGCCAGAGTGAGTTTAAGTTTTACTGCAAAAACAACAAAATCACTTGTTTAACTGAGACAAAATCGCTCTGGCTAAATAGGCCCTTACATTGTGATAAGGTGTTTTTGTCTTTTTTAAGATCAGGGTAAAGTGGGACTGGGTAGAACATTTACATAGGGTGATCAGAGAAGTCCATTTGAGAAAGAGGCAATGATTTGAAAGATGAAAAAGAAAAGATTAAGACCCCTGGCCTGAATCACTGACTGATTCTGGATCTTAAATGGCCAAAATTCCAATTGTGGCCTTCCCACGCTTACCAAATTTCTCAGATGGCTTCAAGATAACTGCCATTAAAATGAAAGACCATATTGGAGATAGAGCAGAAACTGAAGCACTGTGCAGAATATATTCAGAAAAATTGGGGAGGGCACCTGGGTGACTCAGTCAGTTACGCACCTAACTCTCTGGATCTCAGGGTCTTGAGTTCAAGCCCTGAGTTAGGCTCCACACTGGGTGTGGGGCCTACTTTTACAAAAAAAAAAAAAAAAAAAAAAAAAAAAAAAAACCTGCTTTAAAAAAAAAGGAAAATTTGGGGTGGTACTTAGACACATATTGGAAGCAAATAAAGTAGGTGCTTACTAAAATCAAGGAAATTTAGTTGTTAAAGAATCTATGAGCCTAAGAACCAAGGAGGAATGTGACTCTTTGAAGATTAGAGCAACCTATGGGCCTATAAACATCTGCCAATATATCTCCCCCAGGGAGAACAGATTCCCAAAGCCAATTTCAGATGTGACCAAGAAAAATAACAGACAAGGTTTAAGTCCTTCCAGAGAACAGAGCAGGGGCTACAGGCAGCAATGGACAAGAATTACCTTCCAGAAAGCAGAAAGAGGATCCAATCAAGGGCCTCATCCAGGACCAGAGCAGAGGTCTTTGAGACTCCTGCCCGCTGATCTCTATCAGTGCTAGGAGCCAGTGACTACTGTTTCTCATTCTTTTCTCTTCTGAATAGAAGTTTTAATTTTCTGATCCATTTGAGCTACGTCTGGACCTAAATGAAAGGACTGTGCATCACCAGGAAGCGTGGGATTTGAGCTGAATACAGCAGCTGGATGGTCCTCAGAGTTGTCTCCTTTGAGAAGGGGTGAGTGTGTCCAATGTGTTTTGCTTGAAGAAAGGATGAATGTGAGAAGGATCCCACAGACTTGGCAGCCAGGAGAGCAGGCTGTGGGAGAGACAGTAGCCCACCAATAGTCATCCACCCCTTCTTCCGAGGCACATAATTAGTTACCTCCCAGTCTCCCTTGCAGACTGACACAACTGTGAGACTAAATTCTCAGCAAGGATGCATGAGTAAATGTGATATGTGCCTGCCTCTTCAGGACTGGGGCCTGTAAGAGAGGTATGCCTCTTCCACACTGTTCCCCTTTCCAATGGCTGAAACCTGGATGCGAACAAGTCTTGACCACGCACCTGATGACAAGGTCGTGATGGATCAAAGAGTCACAAGACGGAAGAATCTTGGTCCTTGGAAACATTCAAGAGAGTGGAAGAGAGCCGCTAACCATCTGCAGCACCCTCAACTATTATTTGTTCCTTAAGTCACTGAATTTCCAAGTCTATTTTTACAACAAGTTAGTGTACTCTAACACAGAAATTTAACTCCCTGGCTAACACAAAAGTTATCTTCTATCTATTTTAAGATGGCAAAAAAGAATATAATTCACTTCAGAAACCTTTTGTCTTAGTCATTTTGGGCTGCTATTATGGAATACTAGACTAGGATGGTTATAAAAAGCCCACACTTACTTCTCAGGGTTCTGGAAGCTGTCAGCCAAGGTTAAGGGGCTGGTAGATTTGGTGTCTGGTTAGAGCCCACTTCCTGGTTCATAGACACACATATTTTGCTATGTCCTCATGTGGCAGAAGGGAAAGGGAGCTCTCTAAGATCTCTTTTATAAGGACACTGGCTCCGTTCATGAGGCCTCACCTCGCCTCATCTCACCAAAGGCTTCTCCTAATACCATCACATTGGTGGTTAGGATTTCAACATATGAACTTTGGGAGGACATAAACATTCAGTCTTATAGCTTCCTTTCAAAATAGCCAAAATTTTTAAAGTTTTGAGACCATTATTTTCCAGTTATTTTGGAAAAAAAAAAAAAAAACTATGGTGGAACCCTTCATTTCCTACAAGATTACAGATAAATGAATCCTTCCTAAACATGTAAAATTTAGAAAAATAACAGAAGAAAGAAAAACATTATTTGCCAATGTGGTACCCAGACATCTTTATTGTGCTACAACATTTAAAATGCAAGTATATTTCAATATCATTAAAAACTCCAGTTCACATGGCACCTGGGTGGCTCAACCATTAAGCATCTACCTTCGGCCCACGTCATGATCCTGGGGTCCTGGGATCGAGCCCCGCAGAGGGCTCCCTGCTCAGTGGGAAGCCTGCTTCTCCCTCACGTGTGTTCCCTCACTGTCTGTCTCTCTGTCAAATAAATAAATAAAATCTTAAAAAAAAAAAAAAGAGAAAGAAAAAAACAGTCCAAAAACAATCACGTAATGCCTGTCTCTTCCACTAGGTGATAAATTTCTCAAGAGGAAGGACTGTTTTGCTTTCTACTGGATAACTAATACCTGCCATATTATCTCACATATAATGAGCATTCAATAAAAATGTGTTCAAGGAATGACTGAAAAAATGTTTAAAATGTTTGATTAGTTGAGGTGCCTGGGTGGCTCAGTGGGTTAAGTGCCTGCCTCCTGCTCAAGTTATGATCTCAGGGTCCTGGGATCTAGACCCTTACTGGGTTCCCTGCTCAGCAGGGAATCTGCTTCCCCTCTGCCCCACCCCCCAGCTCTCTCTCAAATAAATAAAATCTTTTAAAAATAAAATGTTTAATTAGTTTTACTTTTATGAAAAAGTACCACATTTACCAGAAAAACAGACACAAAAAGTTGTATTCTTTCTCACTTACCCTTAATGCTAAAGGATTATTTCATAAAGGAAATTATGAAAATTAGAAATGTAAAATTCTGAAATTTTAAAGCATATCTAACTCAACAGGCACACCAACAGTTAACTCAGAAATATGTCTGGATTTCAATTTCTAGCTGGGGTATTCCACACCCAGACATCTGATATTTATACAATGAAATATAAAAATAAACATCTAATAAAATTTTATGAAACAGACTCTTCTCTAACTTCAGATATCAATCCCCAACTTTCCTTTTATCACCTTGAATTTAACAGTGGGAACTGTGCACATTACTAAAGACTGGATTTAGCCCACAGTGAAAAAAGAATCAATAGCTTGGTAGTTAACTCCCGATCTCCTCCCAGCAATGCCAACAGTGAATTTATCCACAGACTGGAAATAGGTTTGGTTTGTTCTGCCCACACAACCGGACAATGGATCAGCAGACAGTTAACCCATAATGTCAGCATTACTGAAACTATAGGTGGTAAATCCCTTTAATGCAAATACCTATATCCCAAGCTTTCAAAGGGACGCTTGTCTAAGCGTAAGAGGAGACATAATTTTAAGAGAAACATTTTCATTACAGTTAAGATTCCAATATGGCAGCACTAGACTCTGTCCGGAATACTGTGAGGGTTAGACTTTCAGAAAATGGATCGAGAAAACTGAAAAGAGCCTGCCAAAGCTGTTCAATTTGAACTCAGAGCAAAAAGAATTCTAAAACAAATCATCCACTTTCGCTTTCTTGCTTTCTAAAAATAAGAAACTGCTTAAATAGGCATTTGAAACCTCAAGTGTCTTCTTTAAGCCTGCCTTGCATCTAAGGACGAAAGTTTACTCTTCGGGGTTTATTAACCAACTTTAATTTTTAATATGTGATTCAGCCACTCACACTCTGATACAACAAATATTTATTGAGCACTGCAGCAGAGACGGCTTGTTGTCTACTCCAAAATCCCCACCCCCTCTTTCAGAAGCCCTGGCTTTTAGGTGGGCACACGGATGCTGGAGGAAAGACCTGTTCCCTGAGCTTCCCTTTCAGCAAGGCTCTTCCCACCACAAGAGTGAGGGGTGAGCAGAAATGTTATGTGGCCGCTTCTGAGAGATGCTCCTCAAAGCAGCTAGCAGGCATTCTTGCTCTGCCCTCTCCCCTTCCTCCACCCTGCTGTTGGGAATGCAGTGCAAATGAAAGAACCTATGTCTGCGCACCAAGAGGAGCCTCACCTTGCAGGATGACTGAGAAGAAAGCTGGAAGCTGCATGGATGCCTAAGGACTTGGCGAATCAGAGCCACCACACCCACCTTAGACTGCCCACCTCTAAACTTTAAGGCAAAAGAAAAAATTCCCATCGTTTAAAGTCACTGTTGTTTGCCAGTCTCACGGTACTTGTGGTGAAACTTAATCTTAACTGATATAAGACATTTGTGAGATACCTCAAGCATTGGAATAAACACAAAATGAGTAAGGCAGAATTCCTGCACACATCAGCTTAAAATTTAGCAGTGAATACGGAGTATAAAGAGCACCAGGGTAGATTACGACAGTTTTCGCCTGTTTATTACATTTTCAAACCAACTCTCCTCCTCTGATTACACCAACCACTTTCTTTTGGAGTAACTCTTCTCCCATATCACAGGATCAAATTTTAATACCTGTAACCCCATTCCTCAGCCAACCTCAGTTTTTTGGGGAGGTGGAAGAGAAGGAAGAAGTGGAAGGTAATCCAAGCCTGGCCAGTTAAGGTACCAGCCATTGTAACAAATTCAGGAATGAGCACATGGATTGAACTTGGCCATTTAGAGTCCCACTGCATTAACAGCTATCACTGCAATGTATTGCATAACAAAACAAACCACAATTCAATGCTTATAGCAACCAACATCTATCCAGTGTCTCTAGGTCAGCTGGGCCTACCTAGCTTTAGGCTGCAGATTAAGCCCAGGTCTGCTCCACATCTCTCCTACTGCTTGGACCGGCAACCATCTGGGTGAAATTCTTGGCCATGTGGCAGAGGCACAGGAAGCCCAGCTAAACCACACAAGCACATTTAAGGTCTCGGCTCACTGTCATGTTTGTTAACATTCCATTACAGTAGGAAAATATATTCTGCCCAATGTAGTGAATTGTAAGGTCATGTGGTAGAGGGAGCGTATGAAGAAGTAGAAAAGACAACGTATCAAATTGTGCCACATCTTGAGTTCCCAGTACCTTCAGAGTCAGGGTATTAAAAGGCTCTAAGCCAGTGGCAGCACGCACCCCATCTTCCAGGCTAAATGGAGGCACATGGCCAACAGCAGAGAAAGAGATAATGTGACGAGAACTGAAGACAGAGGGTGAGAGATGAAGGGACAGATACACTAAGTATACTGACTGCTTTACTTTAAAATGGAACAATGCATGAAAAAAATACCAAAAAGAGTAGTGGCATGAGCAAGAGTTGTGGGGATTCAGAAAAGTGAGAAGACGAGAGAATTCCTTATAGCAGACATTCACTGAATGATAAGTAAGGATTATTTTCATTGTTCCACATACAAAAATGACTTTTAGAAAAGTATGTAAACTCTCTAGAAGTCATTGTTGGTTTATCAATCTCTCTTCCTTGCCTTCTGTCAAAGAGGCTGGAAAATCTAAATACTCACTTTCCTGGAATCCACAGTTGTCATCTAAGTTCTGGTGATCAGATATAATCAGAAATCCACCAGGGTTTCTCAGGAAAGCTTTTCCTTTCTTGCAAAAATGAAAGAGGCGGCTTTCCCTCCAAATTCCCCTACACTTCCATCACTATCTTCTTGCTTGTTAGAAAATAGGTTACCTAATTGTAGGGTACATTCTCCACTCTTCAGAGAACACCCAGAATAGTTCCAGAAAGGATAGTCTTGACAAAAATTAGCCAATGAACAACAGCCAGCAGTTGGTTCCTCTGACTTTGTTCTGTGAAACAAATGATTCAGATACTGTTAATCAGGTTTTCTGTTGCTTGTATTGGAAAGAATTCCTACCTGCCGTAGGCCTGAAGTCAAGTTAATATCTGTTTCAGGTCAAGAACCAATCATACACCTGGTCTTTGTACATTATTTTACAGCTTATAACACACTTTTTGCACACTCTCTTGAGTTACCAGAGTTGAAAGGATTGCAGTTGAAGACAAAACCCTTCACTGTCCAAGAAGTCAGGTTTTATCAAATGAGATGGTAAACTGGGAAGCCCACTGTAGCCGTCTAAATGGTAAACAGATTTATGTATTACTGTTATGAGAAAGTGAGAAAGTCATGACAAGTTTTTGGGAAGAAGACTTCATCTGTGTTTGTTTCAGGTTGGATTGTGATGGGTGAACTCAAAGAATAGGATCAGAAGCAAAGAGACCCTGTGAAGAAGCACTTGACTGATGAATGAAGGATCCTACTGACAAAATAAGGCATTCTAGCCAGGTTGGAGTAAGGAGTACCAGAATAGCTGTTAAAAGTTAGAAAACTGGGCAAAATAGATGAAATCTCTATTTTCAAATACTAAAACACAAGAAAGTGAAAGATGTGTTCACAAATACGAAAGAAAAAAATGAGATGAGCCCTACAGTTTACTCCTACAGTTTACCCCAGTTTTATGCCCAGAGGTACTTTTGGACCATGGTCAACATAGGGAGATGCAAAGCTGGGCTGAGGAGACAAACACTGAGTTTGGGGAGAATGAGATGTCTGGAATTTGCAATAAGTAGTTTTCGAAAGGAAGAACCATACAGAAAGAATTTCAGAATACTCTTTAAGTCTGTACCTGGATACTAAGCCATGCATGCTTAGAGTGAGGGGCTCTGAGAGACTGGACAAAAATTAACTACCGGGGTGGGGAGGAATTACTGGGGAACTACAATCTGAACAAATGGAACTCACAGAGGAAGGAGTCATTTGAGTTTTATCCAATGAGGGTATAGAAACTTCGATGAAGACCTGCTACATACAACAGAAAGCCTAAGCAAAATTCTTCAGGAAAGGACAAGAAAATCCTTAAAACAAAAGGATAATCTAGATCCTTGGAAGGTTTAAAAACAAGCCTCAAAAGATCAAGCTGATCCACTACTAGATATGGAGAATGACTTCTCCTAAGAAACAATACAATCTTAGGGAACATGGAACAACATCATTAAAAGGTTGAAAGACAAAAAGCTATCTTCATCTTCCTAGAATTCTATATATACAGAATGATTCCTTCAAAACTGAAGGTGAAATAAAGACATTGTCAGACAAACGACAACTGAAAGAAACTGTTACCAACAGAGCAACACTACAAAAAAATAATAAAGGAAGTTCTCCAAGTAAAAGAAAATGATATGAGCTTCAATATGGATAAACCAGAAGAAGAAAGAACATTGAAATTGGTAAATACGTGGATAAATATAAAAGTTATTTTATTCTCTTATTCAATTTACTTAAAATATAGCTTATTAAGGAAATAATGCATTTGGAGTATATAACACATTTGAAATAAAATAATATAGCAATATATGATCAAGTACAGAAATATATTATTGTAAGCTTCTTACATTTTACATCACATGTTATAATTTTATCCCAGGTGTGTTGTGATAAGTTAAAGATGAATCCACGAAACCATGCCTATATTCCAGCCCCCAAATACATATACATATCCACCTACACATACATGAAATGTAGATAGTAGAGGAGATAAAATAGAGACAAAATACTAAACAGAAAAACAAAACAAAACAAAAAACTAATCCAAAGAAGCCCTGCAAAAAGGTAAAAGTAACAAAGAACATATAAGACAAATAGAAAACAAAAAGCAAGATGGTAGATTAACCCAATATATCAATAATTACATTAAATGTAAATGGATTGGACACACCAATTAAAAGACAGAGACTGTCAGACTGAATTTTAAAAGCAAGACACAACTATGTTTGTGTTAAAAAAATGTAGTACTATAAAGACAGGGGAGGTAAAAATAAAAAGAGAAGAAAGAAACACATGGAAACATTCATCATGAGAAAGCAGGAGTGGCTATATCAACCTCAGAGAAAGAAGATTTCAGAACTATTACCACAGATAAAAGGAAAAGGGTTAATTCATCACGGAGACATAACAGTACTAACTGCATAAAATGGCATAACTCCTTGGGAAAGCATTTGGCAATTTCTTTTAAAAGTAAATATGTACTTACCATATGATTCCACAATTCCACTCCTAGGTATTTACCTACAAGAAAAAAACATGAACACATAAAGAGATTTTTAAATGAATATTCATACACTAAAAACAACTGAGGGGGTAACAAATTGTGCAATATTAATAATAAAAAGGAACTACTACAAAACATCATCATGAATCTCAAAGTAGCCAATCACAAAAGAATATATACCATCTAATTCCATGTGCAGGAAGTTCTAGAAGAGGCAAAACTTGCCTTTAGTGATATAAATTAGATCAGAGGTAGGGGTGCTTGACTGGGGAGAGGCACAAGGGAATTCCCGGGTTGTGTAAATAGTGAATAAATTGATTGGGGTGGTGGCTACACAGTGTATACATTTGTCAAAATTCCTACCTTTAAAGTGTGAATATTTTATTTCTGTAAATTAGGACTGGATTTGTTGACTTAAAAAAAAAAACAACAAGGGTCGGGAGTTTTAGGAAGATTTAACAGGGCAAAATGTCACAGAAAAAAACAGCTAACTCTGAAAATTGAAAAGAACTTGTTTCGCTATAGGGAAAGTCTTGGTGATTTTATAAAGCACTTTCATTGAAAAGATGTGTAGAATCCATGATGCAAGACATTTTAGTTATAACTACCTAGACTGAGAAATTCAAATAAAAAAAGCACAAATTATTCTATTTCAGTTAATGCTTCTCAAACTTTAGGGTGCATAGGAATCACCAAAGATCTTACTAAAATACAGGTTCTGATTCAGGAAATCTTGGGTAAGGGCTGAGGTTCTACATTTCTAACAGAACACCAGGTGATGATGATGTCACTGGTTCATTTACTGCACTTTGAGCAGCAAGAACACATCATTTTCCTGAGACACTGATGGTTTGTATCAGGCACCAGTTTGGTCTAGAAGTTTTTCGAACCTATAGAATCCATTCCTACTATCAGGTGCAGACTGACAACCCAGCCCGCTTCCTATTTAGGAATGTAACCAGTCCAGGTGCTTACGATGCTGTTGAAAATAACAGTAATTTTCCATCAGCAGCCTAGAGTTCAAGTCCCAGGTCTGTTCCAACCAACTACAATCTGAATTAGTCACTCCTAGGCTGCAAAATAAGAGAATAGTTTCTGTTTCTCCTCTCGAGGCGGTTGTAAAGATTACATAGAAAATGTAAGTGAAACTACTGCATGAACTATAACCTAAAGGGGAAAAAAAAAAAAAAAGGCTTAAAACCTCAAGCAAAGTGGGCAAAGGAATTTAAGTACCAGAGTTTGAATACTGAGCGCGACCTAAAAGTAATGGGGACGGGGTGTCCTAGGATTTTCCCCGTGGGCGTAAAAGGAATGGACCATATTATAGTGGAGGGGAGCCCCATCTAAAAAGTAAGGTTCTGTATTTAAATTATCCCTAAATTATGAAACCTGAAATACGAACTTTTCCCTTATTAGACATTTCAACTGGAACCTAACTCGACGTTCAGTGATACTACTGCTTCAGTCTACTTATTTCAAACAAAATCCCACCCACGCATCTCTATCCCCTTCTCCCATCCAACCGTCACTTTTCAGCCCCCGCCCCGGGGCAGTAGTTTCCACTACGCAGAAGGGGGAGGTGGCAACGGACTCCTCTATCTATTCGCCTCGAAGAGGGGCCGTATGAGTCGCCTGGTTCGGGAGAACCATGAGAGATACGGCCGAGAGAAGCGGAGTCACGAGAAAGTCCTAGCCCAGGACGCGGCGTCGGTGCAGGTGGAGAAAAGGAGAGTCCGCAGCCGCCGCGCTAGCGCGCAGCTTTACCGTTGACGGTGCCTCTCCGCGCCTCCCCCCAGAAGCCTTAGCGGGATGGCATCGGCGGGAGGGGGCGGGGCCGGGTGCGCGACTGCAGCCTCCGCGGCGGCCGCCTGCGCTGCGGCCGGAAACAATAGTGGAGCAGCCAGAGCCCCGCGGAACTGCTCCTGCGGCGCGCGGAGCCCACGGTAAAGACCTCGCGCCCCGGTTCCCGACCCGCCCGCGCTTCGGCCCCGTGGTCCCGCGGTCCCGCCGCCTTCGCGCTCCGAGCCCCGCGGCCCTTCGCACTGGTCCGCGCGGGGCGCCCCGACGGAAGGAGGGCGGACTCCGGTCCGCGGCATCCTGAGCGGCGGGCGCGCGCCCCCAACGCCGGATGTGGAGTGGGGGCCTGGCTCCCCGAGGCGCTGAGTCCAGGGCTGACTTGGCCCTTGGACGCCTTCTTCCTGGGGGGGAGTAAGTGCGGGGCGAGGGGACCCCAAGGCACCTCCTAGCCCGGCTTGGACACCCCGGCTCCAGCGGTGCCGGACCCGCACGGGGCAGCCGCTGCCCGGCCTTCCGTGCCGGTGCTTGAGACGCTGCCGGGACCGCCTCGGGTGTTCGCGCCTCCACGTGTATTTTCCTGCCGCGCATCTCCGATAGGAAGCCTCGCTACGTCGAGTTAGCGAACCGCATCCAAGGGTTCCCACAATGAAGTTAGCAAAGCGGTGTCCCGAACAGGTCGTTTTTCCTGCACTTAACAGCGTTAAGTAGGTTGAAAGACCCCTGGCGGCGCCGCTAAGCTCTCTGTGCCTGGGCCGGGATGGGGCAGAGCAGAACCCCCGCAACTGCTTTCCTTCGGATCCCCTCCTCAGCCGAATGAAGTACAGGAATCAGAAAAAGGCACTTGGGCATACGACGCCTATGGCAAGCCTTTAAGTTTTACCAGCTTTGTGTCATTACACAGAAGGAGTGATACTGAAGCGCAAGTATGGCGATGCTGGTTTGATGAGTCTGTCGCATTAGAGAAACAGCATCTTTCTCCTAGAAGTTCCTAATACCACCGTACTGTCAAGTTCTGGAAATTGCATAACTCTCCCTTTCTGTTTCTTAACAGGGGCACTATGAACGAAGAGGAGCAGTTTGTAAACATTGATCTGAATGACGACAACATTTGCAGTGTTTGTAAACTGGGAACAGACAAAGAAACCCTCTCCTTCTGCCACGTTTGTTTTGAGCTAAATATTGAGGGTAAGGACACGGCGGCGTAGATCATTTTATGGCATAAACTTTACTTTTGCTGAACTAGTTTATAAGGTAAAATAAAATTTCTTGAATGGTTGGAAATTGTGCCAAGTATGATGTGTGAAGATCTGTTAAAGATAAGGATTTATGGAAGGGAAGCTGAAGTTCTCACCGCTGTGAACTTAAAAATCTTTTTTTTTTAAGTCCCACAGTACTAATCCCGTTTTTGCTAATCTAAAAACAAAGTATGAGTATTGACTAGTAAACATGTTTTCTGGGTTGAGATCTTATTAAGTTGTCAAGTTTAAAACTGACCCGTGTGGATGGTTTTGTTCTTTACCTTGATGGGCGAATGTAATTGAATTCCTTTGGCCTTCCATGCTGGTACCTGACTGAGATGAGCGAGAACTCTTTTCCCTAGTGCTGTCTTATCTGGGAAAACTTTTTAAAATTTTTAGATAACCTCTTTTCAGTAATCACACACATTTAATAATTTTTAAAAATTAAAAAGGTTTTTTTTTTACATTTCTTAATATTATCTCTGAAAGCATATGAAAAAGAATTCTCCAAATATTAAAAAAATATGTTACCATGTACTATTTGTTTGGATTGGCGTACAGTTGATGCGTGTATGGACATGAATAGTTTGCCCTCAAGAAACATGTGGGAGGTGTTTCTTTAATCTTAATGTTATGGATCTTGATTTTTAAAAAATATTTATGACTCTAAAAAGAATCTTTATATTTTTATAATAAAACCTATAATTATATGATACTCATTTTCCATTTAAGATCATATCGGTTATAATAGTTTTGCCATTTTACTCTCTAGAAGAATTATAGTTGCTGAACATGATCACCGATGGAAGATCTTGAATTTCTTGGGGGTAAATAGAATACATACAACTTCAGCTTTAATGACTGTAGTAATTATAATTAATTTAAAAGGGCTCACTTAGAAATATGATTCTTGTATAGCATCTGAATTACTATGTCCTTAATAATACCACAGTGAAAGATCTAATTTTATGTTCTTTGAAAATAGAGTTGGCCCTATATATTCTTTTACATTGTAGATTTTAATTTGGGGTGGGCAAAGGCATTAGAAATGATCCAGCTCAAACCTGTATTTTACATGGAAGGAAACTGAGGGCCAAATAGGACTGTTCAAGGTTGCTGTAGTGGTGATACCATGCTGTTGTTAGGGCCAGACACTATAATAAAACACCTTACATGGATTACCTTATTTAACTCTGAGATGGCTTCTGTAATCCATTTGAAAGGTGATGGATCCTAACCTTTGAGACCTAAGAAGAGCACTTTGAAGTCACGCAGCAGTAATTGACATGCTGGGGTTTGAAGCCTGGTGATCTGTTTCCAGCATATATGATCTTAATTCCATTGATCTATTGTCAGTAGTTATTTTAGTTGATAGGGCTAATATTAGAAACCCCTTTTCCTGAATCCTAATTAGCTATTCTTGCTACTCCAGCAGCCAGCTTTTCCTAACCAGTGCTTCTGACTAAATCACTAGTGGTGATCGTGCTGTGATAGACTATTTCCACAGAAACCTAAACTTCCATAAGTTGCTTTTCTAGCCTTTTTAAAATATGCCTTTTAACTGTTTTTTTTGTCATTATATAGAGAATATACAAATACTCCTCAGGTACCACTTCTGTAAATATTTCATTTCTGATAATATCTATTTTTTCTTTAAAAGATTTATTTATTTCAGAGAGGTAGCACACTTTCTGAGAGCATGGGGGATGGAGGGCAGAAGGAGCAGAAGGAAAGGGAGAGAGAATCTCGATCAGACCTCTCACTGAGCATGGGCTATATTTCAGGACCCTGCGATCATGACCTGAGCCAAAATCAAGTCTGACACTTAACCAACCAAGCCCCCCAGGTGCCCTGTGATAATGTATTTCTTTTAATTTAATTTTTTAGTTTTTTAAGATTATGTTTATATGAGAGAGAGCATGAACGATGGGGAAGGGGCAGAGGGAGAGGCAGACACCCTGCTGAGCAGGGAGCCCAACATGG